AGTGCCCCCAGAGAGTTTCCCCAGATCTAATAAGAGCTACCCTGAGTGAACACCCTCCGGGCGCCAGGCCCCCAGCCATCTGCTTAGCGGCCATGCCCTCGTCCCACACACAGACAGGCTGCTACCCATGTCACAGACCAGGAAGCCAAGCACAGGGCACATGGAGGGCCAGTGCACAGCCAGGTCCCTCCCTGTCTGGATGTCCTGGTCCCTGAAGAGCCCCACGCTTCCCCTGGGGAAGGCGTGGCCCCAGGCCTTCCCCAGAGAAAGGAAATCTCATTCAGCCCGGAGCAAGGGAGGTATTTCAGGGCCAATTAAATCAGAGAGGCTGTTACTGCTAATGTGTAATTGGTTTTAAAGTTAGCAGACTTGCCTCGTTCTGGATGGCGGGATTTAAACAGCTGAATGCCCCCATCCCAAGTGGTTCCTGTAAGCTGTGACTGTGGCGTCTGCAGCTGCTGTCCCTTCCCTCCTCTTCGGAAGCAGTGGCTGAGCTCTAATTGGCTGCTGGGGATAAATATTTACGGGGCTGTGTAAACAGAGAGCACCTGCCCACGTGGTCTGTTCACAGGGTCTCTTCGCAGCGCCCAGGAAAGCCAGCAGGCCTGGGGGCCTCGCAAAGCTGGCCATTCTTTTCCTGCAAATTGACAAGTGCTGCCGTCTTCCAGACTCAGGGCCGAACGTCTAATTAAATTTCCAGACCAGGATAACGGTGTTAGCTTCTCCTGGGTTCAGGAAGGCCACATATTCACAGCTCAATGGGAAGGGAGATCCTGAGAGATGTATCCGTGCCCCCCTCCCCGGGTGCTGCAAACCTCAGGCAGGGAGCCGGGCGCTCTGGCACCTCCACCAATCTCCTCAAAGGTGGGAAACTGCTGGCCCCAGGGAACACAGACGCCACCTCTGCTCAAGGCGACAAGATTTCCATCTCACGGGCATCTCAAAGACCAAAGACACTAAGGGCCATGCATGAAGGGCAGCTGGGTGCTCTGAACCACAAGTGTCTGAGTGAGTTGGTCCCAACCTGGCTGCACAAGAAACTGTCAGGGTGCCTTAAAAATAGATTCCTTGGCCCCTCTTCCAACCCCTGGAAAATCACTGGGCCCACACGTCTGTCCTGTCTTTAGAGGAATGCTTTAGATGACACTGACGTCATCAGCCAACCCCCGTCTGCAGCCAAGGCTGAGTCATGCTGCCCTCCAACCGCTGGGGCTATGACCAGCTTGGAACCCCCAGGACTCTGTCTGAAATACTGGTTTCACCTATACCCTCTGACACCATGGCCCCAGGGTGACAGCGGGTGATATGGCTACCAACAGTGATGACCTTTGTGTGAGAAGCTCCCATTGAGCCACAAGGGTTAGGAAGGGAGGGCATGGGCTCTACAGCAGGCAGCCCTGATCCCTTGAGTAGGCTGTATGCTACCCCCGTGATCCCCAGATCTCCAGAGGCTTCACTACTCCATATTAGGGCAGAGGGCCAGCAGGCACCCTGAGAGCTCTGAGGAAGTGGTGTCTGGTTTCGGGCTGGTAGCGGGGCTGGAACCATGTCTCTGGGGAGAGTGTGGATACATGAAGGGTCAGCGGGCAAGAGCAAGCCTCCTCAGAGTGAGAGGAGTTTATTTTGGCCAAGGCCTCCTGCTGGACAGCTCCCGCTGGGCCACTGCCTAGGTCCTATGGAAGGAGGGCGGGAGGAAGGGAAGGCAGGGGTGACCTCAGTACACCCATTTTATGGTGTTAATTCAGGTACTGCTGTGGGCCAGATGGAGCCCAGGCCCTGTGACTACGGCTAGCCCGGGCCTGGAGCAGCTTCCCTGGAGCCAAGGCTTAGAGGGGACACTGCTGGCAATGCCCACTGTACCCCCTACCCCTCCCCACTCCCCATCACCTCCCTTCTTCCTCTCTGAGCTCTGTACCACCTGCCTTGTGCCCTTGTACCTGCCTACTGCCTGCACATCCAGCTCCTCTGCGAGAGCTCATCAGAGTGTGTGCTCCTGCGGTCCAGTCCCTGCAGTCTTCTTGGGACACAGTTTTTCCTCACACTCAGGCAGCTCTGGGCCAAGTTGGCAGGGAGCTCCTCTGCCCTGTTCCCACTCCTAAGCAATTCCTCCTCCCTCACCCCTTCCCTTTGCATCTGGAGCCCTTCAGCTTTGACCCCCATGGACACTGACCCCCTGCTGCACTGTACCAGCCCCCACGTTGCTGCCCATCGAGCTTGTCTCTGCTGACCTGAGGCCAGGAGCTGCTGGAGGCCAGGAGCCTCCACACATTTTCATCAAGCCTGGAGCTCAGTTTTTGGTTTTCCCCCTAGGACAGTTTCTTGCTCTCTCCTTAGCCATTGCATGCACCGCCCACTCCCTTTACCCTCCCTCCACTGGATCTCTTCCTTGCCCTGTCTACAGCCCTGTACCTGCCTCTCCCACCAGAAGCACTTCTTGGACCCTCAGCCTCTTCCATAAACTACACATTTCCTGCTCCATTAACACCCAAATGTCTCGACAGCTGCCCACCCCGGCTGGCTCTACACACCGAGTGTCTCGTGGGCAATTTTTTTCTGCTGTTGGGCCGGCCTGTCCACAAATAGCTACTCTTCCTTCCTGCTGCTCCAGCCTGATGCCTGCACCCTTGCCTGTCCCACCCTTGCGTCAGCCCTGGGCAGCAGCCTGTGCCTGGCCATCCCCTCTGCCGTCCCTCTGGATGCTGTGGCTTCTGGTTTTCCTTGGTTCCACAAATTGTTGTTTCTCAGTCCCCTCTGCGTCTTTCTCTCCATGACCCCTAGGACCCTGCTCTCCTGTTTCTAGATGATGTCACTCAAGCCCATGACTTGAAATGTCATTTGGGTGCTGAATGCTCTCAGATTTATCTCTGTACTGGCCTCTCCTCATGCCCCGACACGTAGCTCTAACCCAACACCTCCGTTGGAGCACTGCATGGGTCACACATCAGACACGCTGCACTACTCCTCACTTGTCCCCCAGCTCCGCAAATGGTGCCCCACCCATTCGGTGGTCCAATCAAACCCCAGCAGTCTCTCTCTTTCCTTTTTCCTTCCCAAGGCTTTGAGCTATCCTCAGATCCACCTGCACCTTCCCACCACACTCACAACTCTGCCCATGATGCCATTGTCTTCCCCTCTGAGACAGAAATGTTCAGCCAGGGTGACCCTTTGTCCTCTCCATGGGTGGGGGAGGGAACCTCTCCAGGGAGGAACGGGTCAGTCAGCAGTGCTAATTGGATCAGTCTGCTTGCTGGAGGGGGGCACTGTGCTCTCTCCTTTCCCTCAGAAACAGCTCTTCCATTCAGACACTAGCTCAAGAGCCATTAACAAATTAATTCCGATGAGTGCAGCCCAAGCACTCAGACCTCCAGGCAATCCCGGTCAGTGTCACGGGCCTGGCCTGCTAATAAAGTGGAAAGCAGGCTGGAAACAGGCGATTATTTTGATGCCTGCCTCATCCCTGGAGGGGTGAGGCATGGGATGTGATTTCACTGCAGTCCCCTGCGGGAATTAACTCACTCTCCCAGTGTAAGTGATTAATCCCAAGCTCAGTGGTCAGATCCAAGAGAACAGAGTCCACGTACACCGCCTTGTGGCCCCTGTAGCTCTGTGCTTAGAAAAGTATTCAGCAGGTACCAATAACTGGATGGAAGACCAGTTCATTGGTAATGAGGAGGTATGTTCACCCCACTCACTCTTTATTCTTTCCTTGAATGAGCACAGCCAGGCAGCTGCTGCAGTTGCACAGTGGATTTGGGAGAGGACCAGGCCTGGCCTGCAGCTCCGTGGTGGGTGCTCACCCAGCATAGTGAGGCCCTGAGTTCCATCCCCAGCAGCAGAAAAATCCAACCACACAGATATGGCCCTGAACTTCGAATTTGCATTCATCAAACAAGTGTGGGGCAGGTTGCCCTTAGAATGCTAGTGACACATGGCTATGCTTGTGGTGGCCAATGTGAGGGATAGGGTCAGGAGGCAGGAGTTTTGAGCCCTTCAGGATGGTAGGGAGGAGGCTTCTAGAGAAAGACACCTCAAAGGGCATCAGAGAGCCAGGAGCCAAAATGTCCCTCTTGGCCATCTTTGTTGGCAGCCACTCTCCTGTGGTCCCCAGGCAGAGACAAACACAACTGGATTGAGTGACGGCTTTGCCTACAGGTGTCTGTCTGCCTGGATACCATCTTCTGCCCTCTCCAGCTTCTCTCACTCTTGGCACAGTTCTCTCTCCCCTCCCTGAAGTCCTGGAGCATTGATTCAGCACCCAAGGTCTCTACTGCCTCATACAGGTAAATGTGGTGCTTAGGTCTCCTCCCCACACCGTCTAGCCTGATTCTGCACTGAGATGCTCAGGGTGGGGACTGTCCCCTCTGTCCCTTAGCCCTAGGCCCACTAGAGTCTTCAGTGTAGATGCAGGCTGGGAAAGCAACTGCCTGACTGGATGCTGTTAGGGGCAGATGAGACCTCCTAGAACCCTGCTTCTCATCGTGGGCAGGAAAGGAAGGCGCTCCATTCTGCTCCAACTCAGGCTGGCTTTGGTCCGAAAAGCAGTTTCCGGAGCATCACAGAAACATTTTAAGGTTGTTACCAGCTTCTTATGGGAATGTGTGGAAGCTTTCACAGGAGCAGTGGGCAGCTGGAGGGGTGAGGATGAGCTTGAAGTGGAAAGGACCTTGGACAATAAATCAAGTGAAGGAGACCATGGACCCTCCCTGAGCTGGCTCCTCCCTGAAGCCCCATCCAATTGCACTCCCGGTGACTCCAATCTCTAAAAGAGCACAGGCAGCCTCTCAGCAAATCCCAGCCACCACCACATGTGACCGTCCTTCCTCCTGCTCAAAACCTCTTCCCAGCACACTGACATCCACACAATCCCAGTGCTTCTCAGCCTCACCAGAAAGCTAGCATCACCCCCAATGCCATGAGCATTTAACAGGGACCTCCAGCTCACAGGCATCTCACTGGCCATCCTGAGCAGAGCAGATGGGAGGGGACCCACAAGCACTGACCTTTCACTAGGGCCGTCCTGGCCTCCGCCCACTCACTCCTCCCATCTGATGTCAGCAGGCCAATAGGAGGCAAGCGTTCATCCTCATTGGAAGCCATCCTGACAATCTTTCTCAACTGGGTGAACAGATCCCCTTCACTGAGACGGCGGAAGTTGATGACCACATCCAAGACAAAGAACTGCGGGGACACAGGTCAACAGTCACTTGAGGCAGCTAGTTGGGGCCACAGGCCTTCAGTGAGCCTTCCAAGAAAGCCTGGGACAGGGGATGCTTGGACCTCAGCCTCCCAGGGTGTTTGGGGTTCTGAGTTACCCCAATTTGGGGGCCAGCTCAATGCTGTTAACGGTGCTGGACTCCACACTGCCCGCCTCAAAGAAGGCCAGATTAAATCTAGCCCCCCCATCCTGCAAAAAAGAAAAACACACACACAAACAACAAACCAGGCTGTATAACTCCTAGCTCATGTGAATCCATTGTGTTTGGGGCACTGAGGTGTAAATTGCCACAAACACTGTTGGAGGGTGGTGTCTCTCAAATGGAAAATGTGCATACTTGTGGATCAGCAGTTTCACTATACATGCAGTTTCGTCTAAGGCATAGAGAGACAACCTGTGTCCTGGAGCCATGTGAAGGAATGTGTGCCCATTTGTTTGTGTTAGCACGGCAGTAGCAAAGCCTCCCTCCAGGTGGAGAAAAGCCGCACAGAACATTGTGTGCTGGTGGAAAGTCATGTCCTCAACCAGTGCAGAAGGGACTAGGATGACAGCTCCACATGGAGCCACAGGATTGGGCCTTGAACGCATGGGTGAGTGGAGAAAAAAGCAAGCCAGCAGACAAGTGCAAGGCAAGATTGAAAACTGGTGTGCAAAATGTTCTGTGCATCCATGTGCACAGTGTTTGCTGGCACATGCTCTGCACATAAGCTGCATAACACTGATACTCTATAGCCCCAAAGGCCAGAGCCTGGGCTTCGTGAAAGCACAAGGTCCTTGGCAGCTTGTGGACAGGGATCCCTGAACCCCTCGTGCAGTGTCCCTGGGCCAGGTGGGAGCAGGAGCCCCAAGGTAGTTGCTAGAACTGGGGAGTTGGGACTGCACCCTGTGGGGGACAAGAGTGCTGGGTTTGACTTGTTGGTGAGGAGGAGAAAGGTTTCCTCGTGTGAGTGCTGCTGGTATCAGGGGGCTGCCGGATGTGTGAGCGTGAGCCCATGGAGAAAACACTGGAACGGCATGGGGCAAGGGCGAGGGGGTTCCAAGACAGTCATCAAACTTGGGTTTAGTGAAAAGCACCAAAACCATGAAAACACCCCAAAAATTAAGCAAAAAAAGCCTTTTGTCAGATGCAATATTTTGTGAAGCCTCAACAAACAGAACACATAGTGTGGCAGGAACTGATCAGGGTCAGGAGCCCATGTGGGGCTCTTCCTGGCTCCATCAAACCTGTCTGAAGACTGACTGTGGGCAAGACCCTGAGGTGCTGGCCAGGCCTGGCCCCCCCCCCAACTCCCTGTCTGTCACAGGGAGACCCAACAGCTCCTCTGCATGTCACTGTGAGAGTTCAATGGTATGAATGAGGGTGAGCACTGGCCCACGTCTGGCACTTGTGGGGGTCTTGTCCAATAGTCCTTAGTGCTGTCTGTCTGCCTGCCTGTAGGTCTGTATGTCTTTGTATGTTCTCCAAGAAGTCCCAGGATTGGTGAATGCAGAAAAGGTTCAGTGAGCAAGTAGAAGCTGAGGCCATGCTGGGCTCCTTGGCCACCCTGACCTGGCTCCTGGGGCTGAAGTGAGGGCAAGGCAGGGACAAATATTCCCTAATGGTGACCAGCCTCTTCCTAACCAAGAGAACAGGGAGTGGTGGGGCCACTGTACACAGCTCACTATGTGACTCTGAGAGGTGGCTGGGAGCCTTCAGAGCAAGAATGGATGAACACACCTGGCACTACCAGCCCCATGCCCTCCCCAAGTCCAAGAGGGTACAGTGGCTCCAAAGGGCCACTCACCTGGTTGCAGCAGGCCACGATGACATGCTCAGGCTCTGGCATGATGCTGCTCTTCTGGGCTACTAGAGTGTCCTGTGTATGGCCAGGGAGCCGGTAGGAGGAAAAGAGCCCATGGTACTGCTTCATACAGAGGGGCTGTCCCTTAAGCTGGCCTGTGGCACAGTCTGTGGGGATGGAGTGGCTGGAGAAGGGGAGGAGACACAGGCAGCCATGAGAGGTGGAGGTGGAGAGGGGACATCAGAATTGGTTCTATTGCAACTTTGCAGGGTATGGAGAATAAAACCCTGGGCCTGTGCAGGTCAAGGAAGTGCTCTTCCATGGAGCACACGATCAGCACTCTGTTTAACTTAGTTAAGAAACAGGGTAACAAACTCGGCTCTGCTTTACAATGTCAGCTGCAGCACTCAATCCTCCAGCTTGGAAGTAGAAGAACACCCTATTTCTGTGGCCCATGGAGACCTTCAAGGTTTTCCCAAACCTCCGCTACTCTACCCTCACCCAGCTCATGCACTACATGTAAAAATGCACCTGCTATTAGACTTCAGTGCCTTTACTTATGCTGATCTTTGGTTGGCTTGCTTTCACCTCTACTCTGAACTCTACTGTTCTGCCTCCTCTCCCTTTAGAGCCTACTCCTTATTTTCTCTTCCAGAAGCCTCCTCTGAGTTCAAGGCAGAACATTCTCTTTCTCCTGTGGTCTCTGCATGGCTGCGTTTGTCATTTTCCCTACTTTCCATCCACATATCCGCCATTCATCCAGCCATACATCAATTGCCTATCTCTCCTCTTATCTGTCTGGTCAGCCAGACACACTGCATCTGTCCACTCACTATCCATCCACCATCATGCATCTATCTATCCATATATCCATCTATCCACCATCCATCCATTCATGTACTATCCATCCATCCACCACCCAGCCATCTAGTATGCATCCATTGATCCATTCACCATCCATCCACCACTCATCTGTTCATTCACCAAACCATCTCTCAACTTACTATCCATCTGTTTAGTTACCATGCACCCATCTATCTCCTACACCTTCTGCTACCATCCATCCATCCATCCATCCATCCATCCATCCATCCATCCATCTATCCAACTATCCACCTATTTACTTAACCCCCATCCATCTATCCACCATCCATCCATCCACCTACTCATTTTGCATCTGTCCACTCAGTTACCACCCACTCATTCATCTATTCATCCATCCATCCACCACTGTCCACTCACCCATCCATCTTTCACCCTTTCAGAAGCCAACACATAAAGTACCTCCTATGTGTCAGGCACCATGTTAGGGCTTCAGGATATAGTGGCAGACAAGACACAATTTTCCTGCTCTGATGGTGTGAGTCTTGGGGTGCATGGGTGAGGAGTAGACCACAAGTAACAATCTGGTGAAGAGCAGAATCACAGCCAGCAGTACTGAGTGGCTGGCGGGAGTGGAAGGAGATGGCCATAGGTGGCACAATGAGTCCCTCTGACTGAGCTGAGCCCGAAGTGTAAGACGCTGCACAGGGGTAGGCGGGGTGGAGTGTCCCATGCATTGCCTCTCAAACCCAAACCTCATGGCTGACCCATGATAATGTGAGTGGCAGAAACATGAGCAGTAATATGATGGGAATATTATGTCTACTGAATCCTATAATAAACATCTGTTCTTGTATTTGGTGCCTTTATAACATTTTTTTAGTAATTCATTAAAAATGGTCCTCCCCTAGAGATAGTTTGAGAAGCACAGTTGAAGGCAGAAAAGACACGGGTGGGGTGGAAGCTGAGTGGAGAGGAGGCAAAAGAGGCAGCCAAGGCCAGTCCTAGGCCCCAGTGGCCGGGGTGGGATTGGCATTGCCCTGGGTGCACTGAAAGCTCTTGGAAGCTTTAGCGGCCTTGCCTGAGGTCCATGTGCCCACTACTTCAGAGTCTGAATTCAGATCCAGGTCTGCTGACCCAGGGCCTCTCTGCCCTTTGGATCTGGGGCCCTGCCCTCTTAGAGCAACCACAAGCCCAAGCCTTCAGCCCAAGGTGGGCAAAGACAAGAGCTGAATCCACTTGAACAAAACATCACTATTCCTCCTCCTCCTCCCCATCTGGCCAGACCCACTCCCCTGTGGGCACAGAAGTGGGGACATTTCAAAAGGCCAAGGAAGAGGGACCCTTCCAGGTCAGGCCAGCGGGGTGCTGGACATCCTGATGCTGAGCAGGAGGCAGCGGGACATTGATTCTGTCAGTGTCAGGCCAGGAACGTGGAGGGGGATAGGCGGGGGCCCTGCCCTCCCAAGCACCCTGGCTGTGCCACGCGGGGCACTACCATTCCAGGTTGGCCTGGCCTACCTGTCCAGCAGGGCCTTGTAGCTGAGCACACCTGAGATGAGGCTGGCTGCAAACCTGCAGAGACAGACGGGCCTGAGCTGGCTTCTTCCCCCTTCCCCTCCTTCCAACCTCCCTCTTCTTTTCCTTCTCTCTTCCTCCTATATTCCTCCTTCTCTGCTTTCTCTGCTCTTCTTCTGTTCCAAACGCAGTCATCACCCCCCATATGCCACCCCCTCAAACTAATGGGACACCGTTCCTGCTGTCTCATGCCCCCTCCCAGGTAGTCTTGGGTTAAAAATGGTCCTTTGGTGAGAACCAGGGTGGAACAGCTAGCTCTGCAGGAGGAGGGGAAACCAGAATCACCTGGAGGAGGAGAGGGTAGAGGAGGCAGAAAAAGCTGCAGGAAAGGGCTGGACAGTGAGGACTGGAGCTATACCTGGGAAAGGCCAGTTCAGGCGCTGGATGGGGCAGGGCCCCTGGGCTTTTGGGAAACCCCGTCTCTTGGGAAAAGTCCATCATTTGTCCTTTAGTGGCTTAAGAAAGAGAAAGCCTGTGCTGGGCCACGAAGAGGCCCAGGGATATGTGTGAGGCACTCTGTCACCCCCAACCTGTGGGTGATGAGGCCTGGCTTCATGGTACAGGGCAGCCCCTGGACACCAGCTAGAGTCCTTCTCACATCCACCCATCCGCAGCCCAGCTCGCTGAAGAGCAGTGGCTGCCGGGCTGACTGGGAGCAGATGTGGGGACTCCTGGCGGACGATCCTATCGCTTTCCTCTAGCCACTGTTGCCTGCCCTCCCTCTGATGTCCCCACCACCTGCCCCATCCAGGTCTGAGAGCGGAGCCCAGCCCATGGCCATCGTGGGCTCAGCCAGCCTGGACAGATGGCATTGGGGACCTTGGGTGCCTGGCTCTAGAGAGCTGCAGTATGTCCCAGACACCCTGGGGCTGCACCTGAGCTGGTCACTGGTGTCCTGAAAGGGCTGCCGGGCGAAGATGATGGCAGGGCTGGAGTTGACCGGCAGGGCCAGGCGGTTGTTGAGATACATGTCATTCAGCCAGTACTCAGACACCTGCCAAGAGCACAGGAAGGGGCCCTGTCACCCAAGGGCCGCATGCCCAGAATGGGGCGCCTTGCCAGTGGAGACCACCAGCCCCATCCAGAGCCCCCAGGGGAACCGCTTTCGTGCATTCACTCCACAAACATCCCTGAGCTGTGGTTGTGTCCAGCAGGCCTGCTGGTCATCTTTGGCCCACACCACCTCTTCCCACATGGTTGTCCTGTCCCTCCTATACCCTATCTCCCTCTTACTCCTGTCTCCTATCTGTCCTTGTCTCTGTCTCTGTCTGTCCCCTTCTTTTCCAGCCCTGTCTCTCATCCTGCTGCCCCTCACTCTCACCTTGTCCACCCAACCTGGGCTACCCATCTGTCCACCACCCTGGTATCTCCCTCTGCTCCGTCTGTGTCCCTACCCAAACCCCTCTGCCTGTTCCCCATCTGCCTCCTACCCCTGTCCCTGGAGTCCCGTCAGTGCTCACCCAGTTGGCTGTCTTCTCCTGCCGCTCCAAAAGTTTCTGCTGCAGGGTCTCACCAAGGCCACCAGGGGCCCCAAACCGCTGCACAATGGCCTGGCTCCTCTGGAACTGCTCCTCAGACACCAGGTGCTGCATGCTCCGCAGGTAGGTAGCCAGCGTCTGCTGCAAGGGGGGCACCGGCAGCTTGGGAAGCCCCTGATAGAGAAGGCACAGCATTCACTGTCCTTATGCAGGGCTGGCGCCTGTCCCCAGTGTATGTCTCTCTCTGTCCCCTCCTGCTCCCTAACCTGGGGCCTGTAGCTAGGGGTCAGCTCAGTCAAATATCAAGTAAAGATGTTCTTGTTCACTGTCACTGCCTCCACTATGCTTGGGGCCCAAGAGGGCACAATGTGCAAGGGAAAAAGTGGCTGTTGGCATCAGGGCTACATGGTTTCTGCCTGACCCTGCTGCTGACCTTGGGCACCCCCTGCACCTTGCCAGTGTTTCGGCTTCTCCTCGTGTCAGAGCTGGTAGCCCTTAGCTTCACAGGGACCCCCATGGGAAAGTGTTCCCACCCTAGAGGATGGATGTCTGAGTCCTGTTACTAACACTGTTGGTGGTGGTCATTCCTCACTTAGGGAGAGGGCTGGACAGTCCAGGGCAGCTGTGGTGGGAGGCATGGGTCAGTGCTGCCCTGGTGGCCAAGTGGAGCTCTGCAAGATGCCCCCTAGGGAGAGGCTGGCATTCCAAACTCCTCCTCATGAAGCCAGACAGGGGTTTTGTTCCCCATGGACAGGGAGCTCTCCAAGCTCCTCACCACGGGACATAACCACTCCCACCAGAGAGGGACATGGAGGGAACTCAATGAGGGGAACAACTGACCCTGAGTAGGCAACAGAATGCTCTGATGCTCTGGCCTCGTCTTCCAGAAGAAACCCTAAATCTTAAGGCTAAATCCAGAGTGCAACTGAGTTTGGGAGAGCCCCACAGCTTCTTCCTGGTAGGCACTGCACTCCTGGCTGGACAGCACATTCACCTAAGGGACCGCAGAGCCGGGGAGGAACTTCCCTCATGTACAGGTGAGGAAACAGAGGCACACAGTGGCAGAAGTAGTCCTACCAGAAGACAATCTGTTCACATCTCTCTTTGGGGTCTTTCTCTACCTTTCCCCTTGCCCCCTCCCATCACACCTCCTTTCCTTCTCCCTCGTTTGACCCCTGAGAGTAGGACTGTTTACAGCACTGCTTAAATTATACAACACTGGCCAGGCATAGTGGTGTATGCCTGTAATCCCAGCACTCAGGAGGCTGAAGCAGGAGGCTCATTGTGAGTTTGAGGTCAGCCTGAGCTACAGAACCAGACTCATCTCAAAACAAAACAAAATTATATATCATGGGCAAACAGTGGGCTGCCTGCCTGCAAGGCCTCTCCTCTGTGGGCTGGCTGGGTCCCCCAGAGGCAGCAGAGGCTCCCCCACCATGGCAGAGTGGAGGGTCCTTGCATCTTGGGTGCAGATGAGCAAGCGTGTGAGCACATGCTGATGGTGGGTGACAGTCCCTGCCTGTCTGATCTTGTCTCCACAGCTCTGGCAGGTGGGGGTGTCAGGCCAGGAGAGGACAGGTCTGGGCAGCATGCAGCCTGCTCAGCACCCCCAGTGAGCCAGAGCTGCCCCCCACTCGCCCCTGTCCCTCTTCCTCTTGGGTTGGTGGGAGTCTGTGAGGTCAGAGGGTGGACAGACTTCAGAAGGGCAGGGCAGGAGGAGCCAGCACAGAGTCAACCTCTCTCAGTCAGGCTGGGCAGGAGGGGCAGGGTGTTGCCCACTCGGGAGGGAGCATTGCCTGTGACCAGTGGAGAAGGTGATGCCTAGTGCCCCAGGGTAGAGTGTGACAGCAGCTGAGAGGAGCAGGGCTTGGCACAGGTAGTCAACTCACCCTGAGGCATTGCACCATGCTCAGAGCCACTGGAAGTAGAGCCAGAATGGGAGGCAGCTCTCCCCAGCCTCAGGATTAGCATATGTGGCCAATAGCATCCCCAGCACCCCTGACCACCCCAGCACATGCAGGCTCAACCTGGGCACCGGTGACAGCCAAGGGCCAGACCCACTTGCCATTGAGCACAGGGAGGAGAGAGGGCCCCAAAATTCACTCACAGGCTCCTCCTCACTGCTGTGAGGTTTTGCAGCCACTTCACTGGGGACTTTTTCCAAAATGGGCATCTTGGCAACTCCTGGGCCCAGGTGTAAGAGGTGCCGACCTGAGAACAGAAAAGGTGAGACATCAACACAGTAGTCACCTGGCTTCACCATGACCTTCACCTCCCACAGCCTAGCCCTGACTAGAGGAGGACACAGGCTGACAGAGTAATTAGGAGTCTTGATGCAGGCCTGGCTCCAATCTCGGATCCAGACCTGCCCTAGATCACAGTGGGAAATTGTGGGCCCTGGAGCAAGCTTGCTGCTGGGGCTTGTGGTCAAGAGGCTGTAGCCCCCAAGGCCACTGATTGCACCAGTGAAGCCCTGGAGAGGACCTGGCTGGCCCACTCCCTATGTACCAGGGGCCACCAGCTTCATTCCTCCTGGGTCCAGCTGATAGGTGCTTCAAGGATTAAAATCTCTCCCCCGACTAGACTGAGCTTCTCATGGGTAGCACAAAAGCTACACACTCAGCAGTCCATCTCTGGGGGCTGGCCTGGGACCTGGCATGACATAAGGTGCGGAAAGAAAGGCTTGTGGGCTCATGTGGATGAATGCAAGGATGATTCCAGGTCCTAAAGGCCCTGAGCTCCAGAAGGTGTCTGGGGTGGTGGGGAGGATCCTCAGGCCTGCTGAACAACTGTGACTTGGGCAGGGTCTAGTGAATAGGCCTTAAGTGTAGGCACCACGAAAATGTGGAGGGAGGGTAGCCAGGACCTCTCAGAGCCACCCAACAGCCTGGGGCCAGGTAGATCAGTTTGGAAGGTGTAGGAGGAGTGAGCCAGGCCAAGAGGGGCAGAGGCCAGTTTTTAGGGCAGCAGGCTACCACCTCCTCCCTTGAGGTCCCCCTAAACCTAGGCCCAAAAAGCCACACCCCCAGGGCTTCCACCCACACAGCTTGTACTTTCTCCCAAGAGTCCAAAGCTGATGTTTAGCCCATCCCTCCACCACCAGGGGTACCCAGAGGCAAACACAATCCGGGTCCTGGCAGGCAGCTTAGCTGGTCCTCGGGCAGAGCATTGAGGCAGATGGCTGAACCAAGCCCAAGCACAGAGGATCCTGGCACTGTCTGGCCCCACTGGGGAGAATACATGATGTCCTTGTAGGTGGGCACGGGGATGCCGACTGGGTGGTCCTCAGGCCCAGCTAAGCCTAGAGATAGAAGGTGGGGCTACCTCTGACTGCAGGGGAGGAAGCATGACTGAGTGCAGTTAGGGTCCACAGGACAAGGTCAAGAAGGCAAACGCCCTACAGGTTGTGTGGCCTGTGCTCTGGGGCCTGAAGGAGAGCACTAGATAGGTGTCAGGGACCCCATCCAGATGGCTTCCTGGATGGCTTCCTGTGTCAGCCCCTCTTCCTCCTTGGCTCTTGGGCTCACACTTCAGGGTAATATCTGTCTTTCCATCTGCTGATACTCTCCACTGTGCTTCAGAAGGCTTGGCTTAGGAAGGCCGCTGGGAGGGGTCTCTGGTTTCCCTTGGAGGTCCAGTCCCAGTCTGGTCCTGCATCTCAGCTGACTACAGCTTCGGCCACTCCCCCACCTTCCCCAGTCTGGACAGAGCTGGGTACTCATGCGTGTTTTGAGGGCCCGGGATGAGACCCACAGATCCTTCCACCCGACACAAGAAACGCAGACCTCAGTGCTCCTAAGTGATGGAGAATCGCGCATGAGTCCCGCAGTCCTGATGGCTAAGCCTCTCCCAGCCCAGGCATCCAAGCTGCTGAGTCCCAATGTCCCCGACGGCTGTGACTGCCAGGGATTTGGGGGACTCCGGCATTACCCTCTCCTACACCCCAGAAAGTCAGTGCCTGGACGCGGCCCCAGCTCCCTGCCCACCCAACCCTCTCACCTGCTCTCCTCCGCTCCTCTGTCTCTGCCGCCGCTGCCCGGCACCGAGCAGACTGGGGCGGGGGTGTGAGCCGGTTTCAGGGGGCGGCGCATCAGCAGCGCGCAGTGGGGGCGCCGCGTGGGTCCCCGTGGCTGCAGGACTGGCTGCCGGGGAGCGGCCGCGCCTCTCCTCTCATTCCTCCTCCCTCCCGCTGCTCCTTTCCCCTCCCTCCCCTGCCTCCTCCCTCGTCTCTCTCCTCCGCGGTCCTCTGTCCCCAAACCCCACCCTGGATCCGTCCCAGCCCCAGTACCTGCCCAGACGGCTTCCCGGCGCTTTCAGGCATCCACAGTGGACTCCAGACCTGGGACCCTGGGGCAGAGCTCCACTCCCCTTGCCCCAGCCCGGCACCCTCAGTCCCCTGGATCCCCAACCCCCTGATCCCCAGGCTGCTGCCTACACAGCACCCTGCTGAGTGTTGAGGTCCCAGGAAACCATTGCCACCCATGGCCTGTCTCAAACCCTCCTTTCAAAAGAATTCTATAAGGAATCGGCTTGTTGATCTCCGTATCATCTTCCTCCCTCTCTCTTCCGCCTTCCATCCTCCGGCTCTTAGGTGGGAGCTGGGAGCAGGAAGCACAGACTGGGGCCCAACCTGATGGCAGACAGGGTGCTGCTCAGGAACTGTGGGAGGGGGCAGACACTCTGAGACAAAGATGCCACCCATTGACAGCCCCCAGACGTGCACACAGACGACTCACAGACTCCACTCCCGGACACACAGCCAGGCTGGCAGACTCCAAAGGCTTCCCTAACCCCGAGCATCGCCTCGCTGGAGTCTCAAGACAAGCGGGGGTGGCGGGGTTGCAGGGCTGAGGGTGTCCCCCACCTGAGCCTAGGGTTCCCGGGATGGGAACACAGGATGGAAAACTTTCCTGAGAGCTGCTTGCACTGAGGACGGGATGGGGCTGGGGGCTGGCACCAGGTTCCTCCCGTCACCTCTCCAACCCTCCTGGCTCTGCCACCGCTCCTTCAGAGCCTGGCGCTAGAACAAACATTCGGCTTCCAGAGGTCGAGCCCTGAAAGATGGGCCCCATTTTTCTTCCGTGGCGCATAGCTTCGTTCCTGTTCCTTTCTGGAAGCCTGGACGGGCTGGCGCGCGACGCCGGCCTGGGAGGGAAGCGCAGCAGTGGCTTCCCAGCGCAAAGGCGGGGTTCTGGGCGTGTCCTCAAAGGGCGGCCCGGCGCAAAAGGCCTCAGGCTCCCCCAGGCGGCACCCCTGGGCGCTGCGCTGGGCTTGGGGAGGAAGAGCTGTCTCTAGCCGAGGGGAACTTGTGCGTAGGGGGTCTGTATTGAGAGCCCCTGCGGGGTTTGCTTTCTTTGCACCGCTTTCCAGGCAGCAAAGCGTTTGCTGTTCTTCAGTGTTTGCTGGACAGGCCTGGCCTGGGCTCGAAGACCACTCTCCCTCCCCTCTGCCCGGGCTCCAAGCAGGCCTCCCACCCCCAGCAGTAAAGAGACTCGGCCTCCTCGGACAGACACAGTTTATTAATTCGGCCCGAGGCACCTTGGTGCGACACTAGTTTGACACTGGGAGGAACGCAAGGGAGGACAGACAGACGCGCGGCTCTACCCTGGGCAGCTTCTTGGCTGGCTCGCACACCGCTTCCCCTCTGCCCAGGGCACAATGGCTTCAGGGTCGCCAAGGCTCTACGTGCCCCATGGGCTCGAGAGAGAAATAGGGAGTGGGTCCTGAGAGGGGCTTTGGGCGAGCGAAAACAGGACTGAGGTGGGGTTGGGGTGCTCGCGGGAGGGGCCCTGAGCCTGAGTTGGCGCTAGCAGTGAAGCCACCTGGACCCAAGGATTAAGGGCGGGTGGCCTGGAGAAGGAGTGGGGCTGCTAGCTGCGGGTATAGTAGTAGTTGTAGTCGTCCTCGCACCCATCAAAAGGGCCGGGGGAGCTGCTGGGCTCGCCGTCCTCACTAGGCGCGGTGCGCTCACGCAGGCGCACGGCATCGTACAGGCCCTGCGGCGGCTCATCCAGCAGCACGTCGCGCTCGGAGCGGGAGCGCGTCAGGAGGCCCACGTTTCTCAGGAGCAGCAGGACGGGAGCGTAGAGCAGGTTGGCCAGGCCCATCCCCAGGCTGAGCTGCTCAAAGCCTAGCGAGTGCACGATGTGACCAGCCACTATGGGCCCCAGCGCATAAGCCACCGAGTAGGAGATGTCAGCGATGGCGTAGACGCTGCCGTAGACCGAGACGTGGCGCACGTCCACCAGGAAGGCAAGCGTGGGCAGCAGCGCCGTGTCGACCAGTGCGATGCCAAAGCAGAGGCCGCAGAGCGAGACTACGAGCGGCGCGAAGGAGCGGCAGGCAGGCACCAGGCAAGAGCTGGCGCCGATCACAGCCAGCCCAAGCGCGCCGTAGAGCCACTGTAGGTGCGGGTAGCGAGCCGCTAGGCGCACAGTGAGGTAGACGCCCAGCACGTGGGGCACAAAGGCAGGCAGCCAGACCATGCCCATCTCCCATTCGGACGCCGCCAGCGTGTGCTTCATCCACGTGGCGATGGTGGGCTCCAAGAAGGCGAGGGGTATGTTGCAGGTGGTGAGTGCGCCTGCCACCACGGCGATGTAGGGGTCCAGCATGAGACGGTGTATGGGCGTGCCCACCGGCAGGTTGGCCCGAGCTCTAGCGGCGGCCGAGAAGGGTTTGGCCACCACCAGCAGCAAGAGCGCGTCGAGGAGCGACACAACCGCCAGGACCAGGAAGGGCACGCGCTTGCCGGCAAACTGGTAGAGGATGCCCCCGAAGGGTGGGGCCACCAGGCTTCCGAAACTGATGAAGGCCAGGGCCAGACCCAAAGCGCGGCTGCGCTCGGGCTCCTCCGGATACTTGTCCGCGATCATGGCGATGCCGGACGTGTCAGCGAAGGCCGAGCCCAGGCCCTGCAGGCTGCGCGCGGCGAAGAGCGTGGCGTAGTCCTCAGCGAAAGCAAACAGGGCCGTAGAAGCGAACATGACGCCCAGCCCAATGAGCAGCGGCACGTCGTAGCTCATGCGGTCGATGAAGGGCCCACTCAGGGGGTTCACCAGCAGCTGCAGGATGGCCTTGGAGGCGAATAGCACCCCAATCTTCACGTCCTCGCTCTCCGTGGGGTAGCGGGGCCGCAAGGCTGACCAGGCCGGACCTGCCGCCGTCGGGGGCGCCGAGGCGTTGGCCAAGGAGGCATTGGCTGCTGTGGGCGGCGGCGGGGTGATTGTCCAGCTTTCAGGGTCCGGGGTGGCGCTCTCGCTGCCCCCGCGCATGTGGGCGATATAGTCCGGCACGATGGGCACGATGACCATGTACAGCATGTTGTCCAGCAGCAGTGCCACGCACACTATGACCAGCACCAGGCGCCGCTGCCGCCGGGGCTCCTGCAGCGCTGCGCCTACCGCTTCCGACAGCTTGGCTGCAGCGGCCCGGGCCTGATCCGCGGGCGCCTCGGGCTCCATGCCTCTGGCTCGATGTTCCTCTCAACGCCTCCACCAGGGTCAGAACGGGCGCCCCGCAGTGCAGAGAACCGGAGCCCGGGGGCGCGGTCCTCCCGCGCAGCGCCCCCTGCGCCTCAGGTGGCGGTCGGGTTCATGTCCGGCGCCCAGGCAAAGGCAAGAACTCGCGCGGCGAGGCGCAGCCGCTGCTCTGGGCCGATTGGGGCCTCGGGGCGCCGTAGCTGGGGAGATGGGTGCACAGAGAGGCGGGCCCCAGGGACCGGGCGCGCGGGACACCTTGCCGCTGCCCGCCGCTCGCTCGCCCGGCTGCCGCACTCCCCTCCCTCGCGCCGGCTCCTGCCTCCGCCGCCGCTGCAGCCGCCTCTTTTTTTCCCTTCCACTCGGGGCTGTGACGCGGCGAGTCCCGGCCCCCGAGTGGTGCCCGGCCACTTGCGTCGCTCATGCTAATGCGACGTGGGCGGGGCGGGGGCCGGGGGCGGGGCGCGGCCGGGCGGGGGTCCGCGCCCTAGAGGCGCCGGGGCTGTGGGCCCCAGGAAGGGGTCTGGGTGCGGAGGAGTCCTGGGCTAGCAGCTAGGGATGGGCGCGGTGTGGGCAGAGCTGGCGCTTCGTTTCCCCAACTCTGGACCGGTGGGGTCAACGCCTATTCTTCTCCCACTGGAAAGAGGGCGCGGCGGCCGGGTCCCCACGACCCCGCGGGGAGGGCGCAGCGCGGCTGAAGATCTCCGCCTCAGCCTGGATCTCCGCGCACAGCGGGCAGGGCGCCCCCGAGGTGAGCCGCGCCGCGTCCACCTGTGTTCTCAGCAGGCGTGCGGAGCAGAGACCTGAGGGGTGCTGGGCACGAACCCCCAGACTCTACTCGGCCCCTCCCTCTGCTCTTTCCACCCCCGGGGAAGGGAGGGAGAGGCTTGGAGACTCTGGAGCCGACTCCCACTGGTCAGCCCTTGGGCAAAATGTCACCGCAGCTAATCCCGACTGTGAGCCTGGAGGGACTGAGGCAGAGGTCGCCTCCCGCTAGCCCAGGGTCCGGAACATCAGCCCGGCCGCGCGCTCAGCCTCCCGCGCCGCCTGTACGCCCCAATCCAGGACTCTTTCTCTCCCCCGCTTCGCCATGGGGTGCCCCCTGCTCCGCCTCCTCTCTTCCTCCTCATGCTAACTCCTCCCAGGCCCTCTGCGTTCCAGCCCCGCGCCCTGGGCTCTGGGAGCCTCCGCCCACTTGCTACCCTCCCTAACCCCCACCTCCCAAGCCGCCTGGATTCGGGGCTCCCCGAAAGGTGCGGCCAGGGTCTCTCCCTAGCCTAGGAAGCCCCGCCTCAGCCCGCGACGCTCGCCAGCCAGGAGCCCTCTCTCTGCGGCCATCAGAGGCTGAGGAAGGAGGCTCACCTTCCCAGAGCGCTGCGCCCCCAGCCCTCTTCTCAGTGCCAGGCTGAGCTGGACCTGCCGCGTCCTCAAAAGAACTTCGGCCTGAATGGCACCAGAGCCACCCTGGGTGTTCCAGTCCCTGGGCTGGTAGGAGGGAGGCTGGGAGCTAGCGGAGGTTGAGGGGCTGGTGGTGTTGAAATTACAAGTTGTCTCTCACCCTGGCCCGGCCTTAACCCCGATGTAGTATTAGGCACAGCTGCATTTTCCAACCGTTTCTGGCCTGCAGCAGGCATCCGAGGTGGGCAAGGAAGGTGGGCTGTAGAGGCCAACAGACAGCAGGATTTCTCCCTGCAGTGCCACTCACTGCACGAGGGCTTCTCTCTGTCCCTCCCTCAGTTAGTTCACCTGAAAAATGGAGTAATAATGGCACCTGCCTCTTAGTGTGCATGTAGGGCACGTAGTAAAAGCAGTGCAAACACTTGCTAGTGTTGTCTTTATAAAATGTGCTGTCTTATCCTCTTCTTCCAGTCTAGGGTCTGGGGCAAAGCAGATAAAAGACATATGCATTCCCTGGCTGCCTGGTTGGTCTGCTGGCTAGGTGGGCACTGCGATTCCAGGCTGTGCCTGAGCTGGTGGAGGGTGGAGGGCACTAGGGAGTTGGCTTAACCGGTGTGATTCCAGGCTGAGGGCAGCTGAGGGAGGAGGTGATGGAGGCCAGGGCGTCAGGGTGAGAGGCAGCAGCCTTGCCCTCTATTGCTCAATCTCTCCATCCTCCAGGCATCCCAGAAAGGTACTGCCACATGTGCTTTACAGTGCCCAAGCTTCCTGTCCCAAGAGCGCCAACCAGGGGCCAGGCCTGGCTCGTGACAACCTTGGTCATAGCCCCCCTTGGGGCCCCAGCCCCAGTCTTTGTCTAGAAAGCAGTTGGATGAGAGCCCTCATTACAGCTTCAGACAGAAATGGCCCCTGCAGAGGACTCCTTTGGGTGGGAGAGTTACGTTAACTTATTTGATGGCCTTTATTGGGTGCAAATGAGGCCTCTGACTCATCCTACAACTGCCTCTCCCTAGCTGGCCCCACACACTTATGTCTCCTGTCTGGCTCTTCAGTCATTTGAGTTTAAGACCCATGAGGTCCTTGGCTCTCTCATTACGAGGCTTTTCAAGGGGCAGCCTCCTGGAGCAGTGCTATTTGTGCATACTTTGCCTGTCTGATCAAAAGCAGGAAGCAGGAAAGTACTTGAGGTAGAAAGTTTCCTACTTGTGGTTGGAGAACAATGGACTCTTCAAGAAGAGAAATGTTCCCAGTGTTGTCCAAGTGCAGACACTTCTCCAGTTCTCTGGTGTACACAATGCAGGGCCATTCCTGAGCATGGAGCCAAATTATCTCTGAGCTCTGAGTTCACTTCTACCTCTGTTGCTGTAAGGCAGGAAGTGGTCTTATTTATTAAGTCATTTCTGTGTGGCAGGGATGATGTGGGGCTGCCTTTCTGCATCCCCCTGGGTCCTGGTACATCTCCAGCTCACTAGAGGAGGAAGCCAGACATAGAGAACCTCATTATGCCCTCTCTGGTCCTTCAGCAAAGTGACATTCTGGAGTAGAATAGGGGAGAAAAGTAAATGAGGACTCATAGGAGAAGGTGCTGGACTCGTTCCTTCAGGGGGCTGGGGACACTAAGCTTCATTCCTCAACTTCCAGATCACAGGCAGCCCCCTCCCATCTTTAGCCTCAGGGATGGGGTGCAGGAGTCACAGGTATGTGAGGACCCACTTCAGCAAAATGCTCAGCAAAAAAAACCCTGAGCCCAGGTAGGACACAGAACAGCTCTGCTTCCCGAGCTGACTGTAGCTGTCCGTGGTGCTGACCGGGCTCACGTGTGCTACCCTGCCTCCAAGGGTGTCATCCCCTCTGTCTTTCCGTATCTGTGGTATCCTCTTCTTTAAACTCTGGCAAACTCTAGTGACTTTTTTATCTGAGCATAACCTACATACCAAAGGGAACTTCTCATCCAACCCCGTAGGACAAAATAGAAGCTTTTTCTCTCCTTTCTCCACTGGACACCTCAACTGTTTTTAGCTGGCACATATCTGGTGCCCAAGGTAAGTTGCATGGAAAGGAAAGAATAACTAATTATTGGACACAGAGAAGTGCTTAGGTGTGTCAGGCAGTTCTCAGCATTGTGCAGATATTAACTCATTTCATCCTCTCACCAACCTTCATATCACCTATTGATAGTCAGAGATGCTAAGTTAGGTGATTCAGCCACAGTCACAGAGCTGAAAAGTGCTGTGGACTTACTCCAGTGCAAGCAACCTAGCCTAACTCCAGCTCCCAGCTCTCAGTCACTATGCCATCCTCCTGCAGGAAGCCTGTGATAATGAAAAGACTTGCTCAACAATATCTACCAGTGCATAATGCTTAGTAGGAACTTCATTATATCTTTTATGCTTGGAGATTTGGGGGGACAACTTTGCTCCTTGTTTTCTCCAAGAGACACAGCAGAGGCCTTAGTTTGATAAACCAAAGTGTGTTCCATACTGAACCAGTGCTGTGCGGGAGTGGTGTGGGTTCTGGGGAGTCCTGGTGGATGGGATTTGGGGGAGGATGCGAGGACAACTGCTGTGTACCAGTGTCTGGGTGAGGTCTGGTGCATCGCGTAAGAGGCTCTTGGGCAGGTTGTGGAGTGGTGGGTACTGCTGTGGAGGGGTTACCAGCCTGGCCTGGCCTAGTTTCTGGGGAGGTCACAGGACAACATCGATTCTAGGGCTTTGTCATTTGTTGCTTCTCAGCGATGTCAGTCTCAGAGACCGAGTGTCTGAGAAGAAGCTGGGTGGTGTGCTGGTGGCAGCATGTGGGCCTGCTGCCTGCTCCTGATTGATTATTTCTTTGTCTCCCGGGAAGCACTTAAGTGCAGGCTTGGTTCCAAGGAAGCTCATGAGCCTCTTTGGATTCCAGCACTGGGGGTGGGGGTGCAGCATGCCTGGCCTCGTTATCTGTCCCTTTGCACTACCCTGGGAGGGCCTAGGGGCCTCAGCATCACTTAATTAATTTAGGCTTCCCCAGCCACATATTCTCAGATCCAAGGAACAGAGTGGCCCGTGTCAGCCTTTCCCGGAAACCTGTGAGCCTGGTGGCTGGGAGCCAGAAGACTACGTGCCTGCCCTTGGCCAGCAAGTCCTTAGCTCAAACCAGCCACATTGCCATGCATGAGTAACGATAGAGAGGGTTTCAGCTCCTGCACTCTAGCAGGCCTGCAGACCCCTCTCAGCTCCCAGCATGAGGTGCTGGCCCCCTGCCTTCCTTCTGGTCCTGACTCTTCTCCAGGATCACTGGTTGGAAGCAGAGATTAGCAGGATCTCAAGATCCCTTTGGTTTCCACCTTGCACTTATCTCCACCCAACCTGATGAGAGTCCCTCTCCTTCCTCCAGGGAGACCACCCCTTCCTGCCCAGCCCAAGATTATGTCTCTCCCCAACACTAGGCCTGCAGCACCTCCCAGCTTGGCTTCTGCCTTGCTGCCTGGATGATCCACCCCTGCATGGACACCAAACTTCTTTTCTTTGTGAAATTCTAGGCAGCTCTCATCTGGCTCACAGAACCCCCCAGAAAGTTCTGTGTTGCCAGGGACCAGAGCCCAGCCTCCTCCCCCTACCTGGTGGCCTTTCCATCTTCCTCTTTCTCATCAGCCCCAGTTTGTACCTGTGCACCTGGGAATCAGTGCTCTTGGGCTTCACACTCCTTCATTCCTGATATGTTGAACAGCACCCCCAAACCTTGAGTCCTGTCATTTCCTGTTCTTCTGGAAGTTATAGCATGCATCACTGGGGTGATTCTATTCCCCACTCTAGCCTGAGGGCTGGCTTTTTGCAGGGAAGTGGGGCACTGAGGATTGAACCTGGGGCCTTGCAAATGCTAGGAAAGCACTCTACTACTGAGCTACAACCCCA